AAGGGACTTTTGCCGATAGGCGTCCGATAGGTGCTGTGGGATGGTGGCTGCAGATGGTTCTACTCTAGTGGCACTTCGGTTGCTGTCAATTAAGCTGGGAATTATAAAAGGATGGTTAGTAATGGGGGTCGGGATGATGGTAAGAGAAAAACGTGGAAAAGAAAAAAGGAGGCGCCAGCAGTAGCATGTTCTCGCTTATCCGCCCTGCTGTATGCAGCAGATAAGGCGACCCTTGATAATCTGCGCAATGGCCGATGCAGGATGAAGTTGATGTTTGAATAAAAGGTCATGATTAAAGCCAGCAACTTACGGTCCATACGTTGTACATCCATTCGTCTAAAGAAGAACTCACCTAAGCATTGCTGCCCGGTCATGTTCATCCTCTCTGACGAAGCAAATGCCCAAAAGATCATTCGCTCTCGGGGTCTTATTTCCGAAAGATAAGGTTTCGAAAGGATAATGCTTAAAACGATGAGACATCATTCCAGAGGGAAGTGATTAGAAGTAGACGATCTCTGGTAGGCCCGAAAGAATATACTCCTGTAAATATGCACCGCCACGTAAGCCTAGATGGTGAAGTGGACCTTGACAATAGCCGCTATAATGTACCACCCAACATGGGTGTTGCACCGATAAAATAGGTACCATCTAGTCCGTCCAAAATAGCTTCCTCAGGAGTGGGCAGTAGGTTTGACACCGACCCAGTTCAGCCTATGAGTGACATTTCTCTTAATAGTCCTCAGGATCATATCAGATTTGCCACCACTAACAGTGGCAGTTCAGGCGCCACGAAGTTTGCCCAGCCACTGGGTGGACAGTATAGAGCCCAAGAGCCTGTGGATACCATACCTATGAACGCTAAAATCACTGTCGGGTATAAATTAGTGTAGAATAGACCACAAGCGCCACAATGCAACACGTCGCTTGCTTCCCAGATAGGTAGTGAAACTAAAGGCCAATCACCAAGAAAGTCAAATTTCCGTCTTCTGGTCAGACTGCGCTGGTCCAGATCGACGGGACATCCGTTAACGGAGGACATAACCCCAGCACAATCTTCGGCACTTCACCCTGAACAATGTGCATGTGTGAAACTGACATGGTTATAACATAATGCATATTCCCATCTATGTAGAGAGGACTAAATGAAAATATCTGCAAATAGTTTGATCTTTCCCTATGTGTGAATAGTCTGCCGCAATAAATAAAAGATTTATTTATTTATTTAACGAAGTCGAGTTCGAACGGTACGATGCCATACTCAATTCGAAAGGGGAGGTAAGAGACATAAGCGGAGCACGTAGGTTGTCCGCTACATGCAAAGGTCATCAGCATGGGCGTGCTTTGACCCAATACGTTAAAGTTGGGAATCGAGTGAGAATTGATCGGTCAGTAAATACCAGCCCGCATCAAAATGACCGAACTATTCCGTCAATATGATAAACCCATGGAGCGGAATTCACTCACACTGGCTGAAATCCAGACGCAGAAGGAGTGACCTTGACCCTCTAAATTAGCATGTTTTGTTTACCAATAAATAGAGTTAACCTAGCCCGTAGATATAATCCCCCTGCCTACCGAGTTCCAGCCTAATGTATTCCGTTGACTTTCTAAGCGCGTGACTGAACGGGCAAACAATCGCAGTCTCACAGGGCAGCAAAGCAAGCAGTGCAACAATTGTCAGTCGCAGACAGCAGAGGGAAAGAAGCAAGCGTTACAACAAGGTGGTTATATAAATGGAAAAATATAGATGTGGGTATTCCGGTGAGGAAACTGAAGGAATTAATTTTGCGGTGTACCTTCAACTGATAATTCTTATTTAATGGAGTCTACTACAGACAGCTTGACGAGGTCGTGATGGATTCCACCCTAGGATCACTCCTTGCTGATACAGTCCTCGCTAGGATTGAGAGTGAAGCTACACGGCCTACCATCACTTCTGTTGGGTTCTATTGTCGTTACATTGATGATACGTTTATAATCTGTGATGCAAACACCGATGTTTCCAACCTGTTAAACCAGGTAAACGGTGTTAATCCATCGTTGAGATTTTCACTATCGAAACCGAAAGAGATGGTATGCTAGCGTACTTGGAGGTGTTGCTTAGCCGAAGCAATGACGGTTCATTGGAAATAAGTGGGTTCCGGAAAGCCACGTATACACATTTTCTGAGCTTCGTACCGTTGAGGTACTAACGTAATCATGTGCGCTGCTTGTATTTTCGTGCTATGAAAATTGGCAGCCGAGAGACGCTAGAAGCCGAAAAGATCCGTATTCTCAAAACACTGCAAGATAACGGTTGTCCTACATCAATTATCACAAAGTAGTAGTGGTCGAAAGAATACTAGGAAGGTTTCAGTCTCTTAGTAAACGCAAAAACTCGGAAAGAGTCAACCCACAATCTAATCACAGTTGAGTTCGAATCGTAGACTGCATTAAACCTGTGGCTCACGTCGAGCACGATGGAAATAGATGTTCGATAGTAATTCCGAGTCCAATATCCGATTCTCCAGCAGAATGAACGACACCATACACACGCAGAAGCAGCACAGCCAAAAATCAACACGAAAAGTATATTGTAATTGTTAGTTCAAACAAACTGCACAAAAGATAGCATGATAAAACTAATGATATATATATATATATATATATATATATATATATATATATATATATATATATATATATATATCAGTTCCGACGACGGGTTCTGCGGAGAACGTAGGCAGCACCGGCGCAGCGTTTGTAGGCACGCTGAATTCGATTTACTAACCGCGTGCTTGCATGCTAGGTCTCTTTATTTCAGGTGGTGGGTTTACAGTTTTTACCTTAATGCTTTTCTTTCTCATATAAATATCTCCCTGTACTCTATTCCATTAACTTGCACACATCGCCTAAGCCAATTGTATTCGATTTCCGTAGCATATTTGTGTTCGTGGCATTCCGTGAACTATATTTCCTGACCTCGTGCACTTAGATAGGATTTGTTTGTAAACAACTTATTACATATGCTATTTAATTAAGGTTTATATAACCGTTTCCTTATGCATTAATCGAGTTTTTCTCTTTTTCTTTCTCTCTCTCTCTCTCTCTCAAGTTTTTGGCTGTTGTTTGATATCCCCGGTGTGGATGCGCTTGATGTGCATGTTGACAAGGTGCCTACCTGTCTATTATCCACTACCTCGTCCATACTGGCTCCAGGAGACAGTTGGTCGTTGCTGAAGGGGACGGGGTGCACGGTCCTTGTGGCCGTGTTAGGATCAAAGAGTGGTTCCATGCAGTCAGTGTGGAGCGGACTACGGTCCAGCCACCGCCTTGTGTGCGCTTGATTCCCAAATACAGTGTGCTTGTGTTTGCCTGTGAAGGAGTGTGGGCCGGCTCCGTTGATGAAACGTGGTTCCCATCCGCATGCCTCCCGGTCTTATTCCTTCGGGTTTACACTGGATATGGGGTGTGTGGTTGGAGCTGTGGGTGGTGCAGCGCAAGCCACCCATGGTCCCTCTGTAGGCGCAGGCGTCCTGTGGCTTGCCACAGTGACAGGCAAATCCGAAACCGGATGCCGCCAACCATATATATCAGTTTACCTAGGCATAAGGTGCCGAACGACTAAGGTTCTCAAGTGAAGCCTTTGGCTCAAAAACGGCAACGTAAGAAAACGGCTTAGGTTGTGATTTACGGAGTCTGCTCTAAGCAATAAGGACCTACCGACATTCCAATTCATGATCTGGAGGACCAGAAGACTGAGTCTATCTAGCTTGTAACTGACTAATCTGGTATGGATGGCTCTGAAAGGACAAAATACACAACACAGCACAGCTCAATGGATCGCTGAAGCGCACAAACAATCGCTAATCGTTAAAGGCGAATTTCATTGCGGTGGCGTCAGGCTAGTGAGCCCGTCGTATTGCATATGCTGCAGTGTCACATCACCATGGTTGCAAGAAAAATTGAAGTGATACAATAGCAATTTCGGGTTAATGCAATATCAGTTTAGTATACATGTAGGTAGACGACATTATTACAACGATTAATGCTGTAGAAGAAACGAGTGATGGGTGCACAATCCAATTGTAAGGGACGCAACCATCGTGTTGTTTGTTAGATCAAGCGGAAACAATATTTCAACATGAGTTCCACCATTTACAAGTCGTCTAGGCGACAAATGTAATTAAAAAATTTCCCGGAGAAATCTCAAGACTGCGTCATAACCATCTCCTCAAAAAGGATGGTGTAAGCAGTCTACAGGCCCAGGTTAGGACATTAGCTAGCCCCCCGCGTGACACAACTGTTATACAGACCTATTGGGAAACATAATAGCTAGGGAAGGACTAATGCAAACGAATGTTAGTGATCTCATTACCAGGCGCTTGCCATGATTTTAAAATGAAGAATACGAACTAACTTAAAATAACACATTTGTAGACGAGCCGGGAAGTACGTTTAGAGATCAGTTATGCCTAGCGCACCACAGTGGAGGATGAAGAGTCCAGTGTCAAATCCATCAGTGGCATGAGTCGGCGTTCCGTAAGAAGATGGTCGCACATTCGAGTGCCACGAAGCGGAGGAAGAAGTGCGCGCGGGTGAAGCGATGAAGGAGCTGTCCGGAGCTTTACAAGGTAGACGATAACGGACCGAGGTGAGTGATGGTAGAATATTACCACCCAGCAACACTCCCGAACACAGGATGCCATTGTGAACATTTGATCTGATCGATGAGACCAACGTGGAAACTAAACAATAATATACGGACATAATTAAATGAATGGCCTAGCTGAGAGCAAGGTTAAGTTTACTGGCACATGAGACATTAAGTAACAAGCGCACACAAATTCTCGTGAACCCCTTCAGTAACTAGATGGAGAGAGAAACAAACATCGCTGCAAGTTAAATGGAAATCAAAACGACGCATGGATGTTAGAACAGAAGTAGATTGTGATGAAAATAGTTAGGTAGTCAAAAAATATTGATCCAAACGGCGTATATTTAGGCAGGTGTGTGGAGGATCACTCAAAAGCTTTCAGATACTCTTCTGCACATTGACGAGCACGGGAGTTGACAGCCAGACGTATTTCAGAAATTTCTTTATCGATTTCATCCATGAACGTGATGATGAAGTCGACCACTTTTGCCTTGGACATTTGTTCCGTGTGGGAATTCGTGATCAGGAAGCTAATGTCGTAGCCCTTAGAACAATAGAAAAATATTGAAGCAACCACAAGCATGGCTTCTAAACAGAATAAAAAGGAGAATACGGTGGTAATAAAAGATGAATGAAATGGTAACCTAAGAGAACTTTAATTGGATCCAGAGTGCGACGTAAATGTAGGCCTTAGTAATAAATGAAAGCAGGGTTGTCGGAGTTGTTTTCTGACTTGTGTAACATCATAGCTGCAAAATTCATGAAAGGTGCGCGAACGCAGAGGGTGCCGGAAAGGATAAAATTGGCAGGAGCGTGGGTGTGTATCAAGAATTTCACTAAACTGCCCCTTATTCACTCATGGATGATGTAAAGCGGTTAGGCAAAGCATCCTCATCATGAAGAAACATGTGCATTTGGTGGATGCCCGGCTAGAGCAGCATAATGTCTGCCAAAGATCGGTTCGACTGAGATCGGAGCAAGCATGCAAACTCTGCGTGTACAAGCGACAGCAAACGCAGCGAATCATGGGGTACGCCAACACATCAGAACAACTTCAGTGGTAACTGCCAACCCGTTTGAACCTATTGTCTAGGTGGGCTGGCAAACGTCTAATCAAAGTCTTGGCCAGTTTGGCCCGAAACGAGAGTACGGGCACATAACGAAAGGTATTAGAGCATACCACGTTTACTGCATGATCCCCGCTTACTTATGATCAGTCCAGCAATGTGTCCCAAAAAACGTGGTACACGAAGATGGACAAGCCGAGCGAACAGGCAACAAGAACTTAGAAAAAGATTCACCAAGGAGAAGCGAAATCATACAATCCAAATCAATTTCACTGATTGACCCACATCGATATAATAAATCGGCAAAGTTCTGGAACAATGTGAAACCCAGGCATAGCAATAGTGATGCGTTCGATAGTGTTGCCAAAACCAGATATGACTGATCTACGGGAAATAACCGGAAATATGACATGGGCAAATACGCCAAATCTTATAATTAGCTTCTCACCACCTCTTAGGTATTTCATTTACAGGTTACTTAGAGGTTTCTCCACTTCACGAGAATTCGAACTAAGATAAGCTGACATAAACCATCTGCAGGTAATAAAAACGCATAGAAGAAATAATACACATGCTTTGGAATAATCAGATAGGTGGGCTGGGAACCAAAGGGTTTTTCACTCCCAGTTGCTAGCACAGGCATGCAAGTATCGGCGGACAAAGACGGTCAATCTATCAAGGATTTAAGAGAAAGAGTCGACTTTGAACGAGACAAAAAGAGTGGAAGCAGCACAAGTGTGAACTTAAGTCACACCAGAGACTAAAACCAGGGGCGCGACATTGCGCACCAAATATCCCGTGGCCATTTCTTACGACAATGTGTGAAGGTAGCTCCTACATGTACTTAGATTGCTGAACAGAGCGGCTAGCGGTAGTACAAATCGTCCATTACAATGCGGCAGTAATGATGTAAAAATGTACTAGAGCTCAAGTGCCTTGCTTCGCTTCAGTAACGCAAGTTAAGGCCGAATTTCTCTGATGTTTGGAGGAGTGTCATCAACGCTTCAAGCGGATTCAGGCGATAACGCTAGTTGAATTATCAATACCTTGAAACAAGCGATCCACCTTCCTCAGCTACTGTTTCACGCAACGTACTACTTCCTGGACCCGAGCACTTGATGAATTTAAACGATGCTCTGTCGGTGTCTTCAAATTTGTGGATTATTTACTGAAGTAGCTGAATTGCAGCCTGAATTTAATGGCACCGAAATGGCAAGCATTTTTGTAAGTTATGTGAAATCGCTACTGCGACACGTAAGTAGCTATTATTCATAAAAGTCCTTCAGGTAGGGGCCATACTATTCCCTGAGTAAGTTTATTGATGCTAAAGGTCGATATAATGAATATTTCATTAAGTTATAGTTCACTCGGGATTAGTCGGCTGGTGGCGAAGTGATATTGAAGCGTCAATTGCAATCATAAAGTCACCGGTTCGAATCCGCGTAGGGGCTGGCGTCCTCTCGGTATACTCAGCCCACGCGCGACTGGCAGTAATCGCGCGGCAGTGAAGCGCTGTTACGGCGTACAGCCGACGATTTAGTTTTTTAAAAGTGGGAACCAGATCGTTGCACACTCGTTAACGCACGGATGCTTGCTGAGTGCGCAGTGATCAAACGACCACGAACCGATATTTGGCCGGTCGTATAAGCCTGTCTGTTACAAATACATACCTTGATTTGCGGGTTCTGGATGGATGGCAGAGAGCACCACCGAAACCCTCCAAATGAATAGCTTGTATTTCCGACCATGATAAATGGTGTGGGTCCGTAGATGCGACTGATGCATCCTATCTCCTCGTTGATTGCGCTGGCACATAGGATGGCCCATCGCTCTTATCCTCCGTGCATTGTTGGTGGGCGACATCGTTAATTAAATCGGCAGAGGAAATCCAGACCACTTCCTACTATGGATCATTAACTGCTTCCACTTTCCTCGTTTTTTCAACCTTGAGCATAGCTTGAACCCACACATTTCTCCTAGATGAGTGGATATTTCTCTTGATCTGGGATCATAAAGGACCCTATAACTGAGCACCCACATTTTAAAATAATTGTGTATCAGTGTCGGCAAGTACGCTTCCAGTTGCAGCAGAATCTTGGTAGCGGATAGTTCACGGACCAAGTAAACCTTAAACAGAGCTAAACTCGAATTCCGGAGATAAGGTGTTCTATTGTTTCAGAACCAATATATGTTAGCGTAGTCTCCTGACAACAAATAACATCCACAACACATCCAATTTCTTTTTGGAAGGCTATGATAGGTCCCAGTAAAGCGATGAGCATAATCCCATTTGCTTCTCGGAACTAAGCGGGGGTGAACTGCGAACCGCTGTTTCAGATCACTTCCTCGGGAACTCCGTGTCAAGCGAAATGGTAACGTAGGCTGTTCAAAAGATCCTGTTACATATTGGAAAGTGAATTTGAAGTACACGTTGTGTTGATGGATTGCGACGCGCAATCTCAAAGTAGACCGCGATTCCCATTGAAGTGAACCTTGGCCATTCGATCACTAGGACCGTAACTGATGAAGCAGCAGCAAATTGGGTGTTGCCCGCCTGAAACCACTGCACTCCATGACGCGTTTCGAGGTTATTTCCTCTCATCAGATAGAGATAGCAGGCATCCTGTTACATAAGTAGGACAACAGTCAAAAATAAGCAATGTAACATATACCATGATCTTTAGAGTGAATTGGTCTAAACGTAATATCCTCTCCAAGCTCTTCGGAGAACCTCGAAGCATCATTTGCTATTACGCTGGATGAGCGGGTTATACAGCTTGACACATATTCTAAAACATGACCAGTCATTCCAAACAGAAGAAAAATTCAAAGTTGGAGTTGGAGAATCCGCTGTGTGCTTGGGTTGTTACAAGCAACCTCTATTGGGACCTCAGTCATTCCGGTCACAAGGACCGTAGGTAAAATGGAAATATGTTGGTGTTGCTCATCCCAAAACTAGCACCCCACAACCGCGGTTTCGTCCTGGTTTGGACTCATCAGGTGGAGGTCTCCACCTGACTCACTCACTCTCTTATTGGAGGTCGAACCCATGATCACTAGAGGCTGACGCCAACTAACCAGCAGCTTTAGCCACTGAGCCATGGGGGACGGCGGCTGGGCTATATAATTTGCAAGCCAAATGGGATATAGCACGACCTATCTGCCACTGCCAAGTAGGTTACTACCAGTGCAGTTGATAGTGGCTAGCCGCCCAGTTCATGACTTCCTTTCACTAGACGCTAGAAGAGGCTGTGTTGGGTATTACTTAGGAGTAGGAGGATTTTGGCTGTAATTTGTCGGCCAAAGCACAGTAGATGTTAACCAGCAAATGTGAACCCTGCGCAACTTCAGACATGATGTTTTGCATCGCCTCTGAGATACGCATCCGATAACCTTCCCTCTATGGTAAGTTCGTCAAGAAAATGGAACAGCGACAGTCTGCGACTAGCTCCTTGTCTTTCAGCCATCAGGTAACTGTTATTCGTTAAAACCTTTAACATGTATTATCTGGATGACGTCGCCGCTATTGAAAACGGTCTCGAAAACAGGGAGTTGCTATGTCGCGTGCAGTGTCTGGGACCTCGTGCGAAGCGCTTGCATGTGAAAATGATCCCAAAAAATCGTGGATGTAGACTTATGACTCCGAATGACAGACAAAATCCAAACATACTTTATTAAACCAGATGAGCATCCCCTGAAGGTGATAATAAAACCCAAGGAATAGGATTTTTGAAAATCAACACCAAAGGCTTTTGGTCAGTGAACACGTTGATTTCTCGCCTGGAGGCGTTGTCATCAGAACACTGGAACGCACATGTAAATGTAAGCAATTCCTTTGCAATTTGGCCGTGGCGGTATTCAGAAGGCGTCAGTGTTCCGCTTCGCAACACCAACGGTTCCCCATTTTGCAACAGCATCATTCACAACTCGTGCTGGTTACAGTCGCAGTGGAGCTCAAGAAGCAGATACGGATGGAATTAGGAAGGAATTGGAGAACTTGTGAATAAAATTTGCTCCTGCATACCTTAATGTGAACACCTGTTGCAGATGGGTCAACATGCAGGACTTTCCAGAACAGCAGAAGCAATATCGATCGATATCTGCTTATTGGAAACTGGCCTGCAAGACTCAAGCTTTTTACGCACTCAAGGATCCCATGCAAGTGACAACGGCCGTTCTTTCTTAGTGCATCTGTTCAGTTCAGTTCAGTTGATCAAATATGATTCGAGCACCGAAGTGCGGTGGATCAAGTTGCCACGACTCACACCGTGAAAATAAATAAATACAAATAAATGACACCGGCAGGACGGTGGGGTTGGGTGCAAATAGAATGCAGGGAAAATGAAAGAAAGAAGGAAATGCATTAGACTAATCAGAACGAAACGAAAATCCACAACCAGATGAAGGAAACCGAATGCAAGAACGCCACTGACTTCGTGAATGCGCTATGTCTGATACGGTCTCTAACAATTGGTGT